GAACTGCAAAAATGGAAGAAAAAATCAGGAATTTGGAAACTAAATGTAATAATGAGAAGTGGGAATTGTCAAATAAAGATGAATTAAAACCACCATATATGCTACGTATACTAAACTGCAGAACGTAGTTCACATTGGGAAAACCATTGATTTCTAAGGGTATCGCCACCAATATTCGCACAAGTGGAAAGCACATGCGCAAAAAAAGTGTGAATATATAAAGACTTTATGTTACATGTTTTTGTAGGTGCGCAAGTGCAAAGCATGTGCACATGAGGAAAAGGGCAAAGGAAACTAATGAGTATCACAAACCTAACTTAGTAACTAAAGGCGAGTGAGGATCTTTGCCTATCTGTTCCTCCAGTTTCTGTGTTTGAGCGAACCATCTCTCCAGAAGAATCCTAGCAGGTTTAGTTGTCCTATTGTCGCTAATACTTGAGAAGACCTCTTGTTATTCAAGACTGACTTGACAATTCATAAGCATCAACTTCGACCCTTTCTTTTGTGCCTCGTCAAAAATGCTAATCTCTTCTCTTTTATTTTGAGCCCGAAGAACACATCTGCAAAAAACAATTGACTGTCAGACTATTGTATAATTCTTTATCTATATTTTTCATGGTGTACACCTATAGTTTTGTCCTCGTACAAAATAGATTTGATAACCAACTTAAAACAGCTCACTAAGCATCGACGTGGATCATAAATTCCTGTAAAATATGCACAGACAAATAGAGAAAATTGAACCAGAAAACAAACAAAGCTCAATTTGGAACTTTTGATCGGCCTGCAAGATGATTAAGCAAAATATATACGTGTCGAACTCTAACAGATAGAGCAATATATGATTAACAGGAATGCAACAAAAATGATAGAGCAATATATGATTAACAGGAATGCGACAAAAATGTTCCATAAGAAAATCATAATCTGCAGAAATCTGCTTACTGAGGAGATGACATTGGGAGCTATGAACAAATAGGGACCCTTGCAGTTAGCTTCTTCAGCACCAAGAACAATCAGAGCGTGTCTGTGCTTAACATTTTAATGGGCTTATCGTTTACTAATTATTCACCACATATATTATTTGGTAAAAAGATTAATTTTGACGTGCTTGGGAGAAAATTAATGTCTTGTTAACGGTACAAAATGCTATGATCTAAGAAACAACAACTGGTAGAAAAATTCTTTAGCCTCGTTGCTTAGAATTCCAGTGAATGGAATTTCCTTATGAAAGGCAAAGGTTGGAAACTTGCACAAAGTTACCAGTGGGTGAAAGAGCGGAGACCATTAGTTGAACTAACTCAAGGTTTGTTCCAACTTTGTATTGTTAATTTATATCATTAACTGGCTGCATGTGTTGATTATTTGTTGCTAAAATTTTATGTCAAACAAGAATATTACAGCTGGATGAATGAGAGTTGATATGATAAATGTCAATTAAGTCACATTGTAACAAGAACTACCAGAGTGCAAAGTTGTCTCCATCCAATGATGGAGACATGAAGAAGTCTCCATCCATGTCTTTATCCTTGGATGGGGGCATTTCTCCATGCCTCTAGGATGGAGACACAGTGGAGGATGGAGGTGTCTCACGAAGGCAAAAAAAAAAAAAAATGTGCACACAGGGGTGTCTCAAATGATGCAATCCTTGAAACCAATCAAGCAGATGAGCCAGCATGTTTGCACTTTCGCATCATATAGCCATGATATGACTCGACAAATCGAGACTCATCACTATGTTAGCCGCCGCAATCAAGATTTCCTCCAGTGTGCTGTTTATGATTCTGAAGACCCCAATGGACGGCTAATCGGTAAAACTTGCCCCCCATCCTCACCCACTTTGCTATGTCTAATGTCTTGCAGATATCTCTATAAAGTTTTATGTTTAAGGTAGAATTTGCTTTGTTATCTTTGTACAGGGGTTGAGTATATAATATCGGATAGGATCTTTGAAACTCTTGGTCCGAAGGAACAGAAGCTTTGGCATTCACATGGTTACGAGGTCTACTATTCTTTTTCTTGCTTTTAGGTTACCTTCATATGGATTATTGGAAAAACAATAATAATTGAGTATTACATATTCTCTTGATATTTGAAGCCCTTTATTTTTCGAAAAATGTGATTATTATGGTCCAGATTAATCAGGGCTGTGGGTGAATCCTCGTGTTCCAGAGATGATTCAGAAGCCTGAACTCAGAGATTTAGCCCAGAGTTACAGCAAGTTTTGGTGCACATGGCAAGTTGACAGAGGTAGGTTCCCTCTTTGTATTCCTGTTATATATTTTGCCTGAGCTATGCATGTTTGGCAAAATTTGTAATTGCTAATAACTAATCAAACTCAACTGTTATCTGGGATGATTTATTTCCGTTTTGATATATATCTCATTGAAACCACTCTTAAAGTAATGAAAAGGTTGGAGAGGTGAACACAAATAACCACCAATGTTTTAGCCTCTTGAACGATTTAATGGAGATTTTAGTAACTTTTAAGGAGGAAAAAAGGAGGTCTGTATTTTATACAATACGAGAGTGAGTTCTTAATTTGATAAATGCAGGTGATAGGCTTCCCCTTGGTGCACCTGCACTGATGATGTCTCCACAAGGTGTGAACATGGGTATGGTGGATTTAGTTAAGAAAAGGGATGACAATTACAGGATATCAGCTGAAGAACTGAAAATAAGCAAAATAGATATAGCAATACCTGAGATGACAAATTCTTATGCGGATTACTGGATGCAGACTGGCAAGGGTTTTGCTGTTGACGTAGAGAAGACAGATATGGTATTGAGGGCACCATTTCCATGACAATTATAAGCCCTAATTTTCTTTGCTTTTGTTTTCTGTGATTAGGGACTTGGAAATAAAAGATGTGCGTTCTCTCTTTTTGTTAAAAAAAATAGCCGACTAAAAAGATGTAACTTTAGTTGGCTATTTAATAGCGTCAAGTGATTTTTAGTCATTGTAGACAAAGTTTGGATGGAAATGTTGGTTTAAATATAAGTAAGGTAATGTCAATATTTGAAATATTTAAATGCAGTCTAGTTTTTTTTTTAGGAAACTAAGAATGTAAGTCATACAATTTGATGAGAAAAGAAAACACAAGGTGACAAGGAATTGTTACTGTATAAACGTGTAAAATGGAAATATGACTACCTCTTATAGTGCTTCATATTTAGGTGGAAAGTCAGCGGGAAAGCACCTGGTATATAACCTTTATAAGATTCAAGACAATTCCTTGTTGATATTGAGGTGGGTCTTATATAAAGTTCCTAGATCACCACCATTTTTTAATCTTAATATGAGCCAATATAAGAATGAGCTATTAGATAAATAACTCGAACAAGAATAAATAAACTAAGCATTAAGTATAATTACACAGATTGTTAACTACACGAGAAGCAGTAATGGAGGAATGAAAAGAAGAAGCTGAACTTGGATGAGACCATTATCCTCATTAAGTAGTTTTGAACATCACCATCACATTTTGAAGTGAAATTAAGGTTTTTTGAAACTGTCAATGTAATAGGATGAGTTGGTGTTGGAGCAGTTGGCTTGGACTGAGTAATAGTTGGTTTCACATCTTGAATAATTACTTCAACTTCAGCTTTTAAAGATTCCAAAAATTGGTTGGCTTTATCTAGTATGATACGTCTTGGTTTGAAGTCCATAGATATTTTTGATCAAAAAGTAAATGTTGAAGAACCAAAAGCCTAAAAAGAAAATAACAAATTCGTCAGTGAGTATTTAGTTAAGGTACACAATAAAAAAGGAGCAAGAGGAGAGACCAAAACAACCTAATGTGATTTGGATTACAATACCTAATCTTATAAATTCTTAGCAACATCAGCAATTTGTCAGTGTATTAGACAGAGTTGAGAACAAATAATAGATGGTAGTCAGGGGATGTTCGTTTACAATCGTTATAGAAGTAAAGTGACTTAAAAATAGCCTTAAAATGTTAATTTACAAGCATAAATTTAATTCGTTAACAACTGAACTTATTAACTGATGGTGGTAACAAGAGAGGTTAGAGCACTAAAACATAAGGATAGCTGAATAAATTTCATCAGTGTTTTTTAATTCTAATATTAGCAAGTGAAGTTTTGGGCAACAAATGTGTGCACTAAACTCATTAGTTACGCTATTCAATGAAAGGGAAGGGGAATAAATAGAAAGCGCTGAACAATTACATCATGATCTTTTGCAATGTGTAAAAAATATAGGTATAAAGAAAAACTTTTCTCATTCTATTTCATGCTTAAAATTTATAACTAAAATCTGTGCAGAAAGATATGTACTGTTATTGTTAATATTTGGGCATATAAGATTATAATTTTCTAGATGTACAACTAAATCCAAGCATATGAGATACAGCAGTTGTGATTTAAATCAACTCCATCAATCTAAGGGTAGAAGAAAGCTGTTTTTTATCTATCCATCTTCACAGATATTCTATGAAAATAAAGAATAACATGAAAAGAAAACTATGTCTAATTGCAGTTACTTGGGCAATTACTATGCACTGCTCTTAGTTTGGTTTTCAACGAAGAAGATAGTTTTCAATTCATTCTATTGAATTTGAATGTTTAATTTTCCTAACTTTGTGTCACTGAATTGTAATTTTGTTTTAAGGATTTCTGGTTTGCTTCAAACCTTTAAAGAGAAAATTGTAATTGAGAAGTTGTGCTACTGTCCCAGGTTCTTCAACTCTTTATACTATTTCTAATGAAATGAGATGGTGACAAGATTCTTGATGAGTAAAACATGCGCTTGCAACATGATAGGAACCTGATTATATGAAAGTAACAACTGAGAATTGATATTGAATTAATGACGAAATTACAATGAAAATGAAGGATAAATTCCAGCAATTCGAGAAGCTGGTAGTCTCCCAATTGGATAAACCAATACTCAATATTTTTTCCCTATTTTGCTCACCCTCCTATTACATTTATACTAATATTCCCCCAATTTATTCCCCAAACTACCCCTAATAACTAACTGAATTGGAACACTCTAGAATAGGACTTAACAAGCATGAATGGATAACTTGGGGCCTATCATTACCCGCCGCCTCAAAATCCACCTTGTCCTCAAGGTGGTCGTTGTTGCTGATCTGCCGCTGAACTGTATAGCTGTTGGAAGAGGTTTTCTCGGCTGCAACAGCAGCTGGTGAATCTGCTCTGGACATGGAAAGCTGTGGATGAACCATTAAAATGTTAGTCATACAGATTCCATAACCTGTGGCACCACCCCTTTGCAAGCTTTCCAAAAAATTAACCCAGCCAATCGGAATACAACTATGGCTAGTACCATAATTGATTAGCATCGCGGTATCTTCTTTTTGTGCAATCTGCCCTTTTTTTGTCCTTTGCGCCATCCCAAACTCCGAATCAATTATGAATCCCAACGGATCACCAACCTCCTCAGTACCTTCGGTGTTAAAAAATTCTTCTCTATCACTTGTAAGGATTTTGAACAGAAGACTCCTTTTTGTTGTTGGACCCCCCCATAAAATTTCACTGACCTGACATTCCTTATTGCAATGTTGGCCACGAAAGTAATTTTCATCGCCACGGGGATTTAACCCCATTTTATCCTCAGCCCCAGAAAATTCCTGATTAATGATTGAGAATTTGGGAAGTGATTGTATTGGGTCACCCTCTTTTTTTTTTATTTAGGCCCATTTCCCCTAGGGCTTGATTAACCTGTTGGGCCACCTCCCTAACCCAGACCATATCCTCTAATTTCACGAACTGGTCTTCTATTATCTTCCCTGGAGTGAGCCCATTATCAAAGCCTCCTTCCTTGTCTCGTGATGAAGTGCCTCGTCGAGGAATTTCTTCTCTTACGGCATACCCATGCATCATCCTCTTCTGATTCATGGAATCAAGTATGGCTGGTGTTGGAATCTCCAAATTCCGCCTGTGATGTTTCGCGAATCCATCCGTGACTTTGAAAATCGTCGGCTCTGGTGAGTTTTCTGCTATCTCTCTTTCCTTCCTCTCCCTTTCCGGCTCAGCCATGGATTTCTTCTCCTGGTTCGGCCAATTCACAGAGACCCGTCTCACCTCCGACCTTTTCTCCTCAATCAGTCCACCCAAGGGTTTGTGCTTATTGCTCTTCTCCTGCACCCGTAATTCCCCAGCCACTTTTTCCATCTCCTGCTCCGATCTCTTCGTTGGCCTGGGCGACAGCGATGGCGAGGTAACCTCCTCCAATTGACCCCGTTCAGCAATCGGTTTCTCCCCCAGCACCATACTCTTCTGCTTTCCCGCCGACAATTCTTCATCACTGGAGAGCTCGTCACAGCGGTAACTCAGCCCTCTTTCCTTCTTTGACTTCAGATCGGCGTTTGTCAGCTGCTTAAACGACGGCGTTGCTTTGGTTGATTTGTCCTCCACGGTCACAGTTCGCGTGGGAAAGCTCTCGGTCGTCTTCCACTCTTCTGCACTTAATCCCGGTTTGAAGATTTTTGGGCCTGCAAGCTCAGCTTTCCCTGGTTTATCTTGGTGGTTCAAGCCACCATTACATGCGCCAACCTCATCCAATTTTGGGAAAATTTCATAAGTGCTGGTGAATTTCAGCTCCTTGATGAGGATATCCTCTTCCCACGATCTGTTCATTTCTGCTTTAGGAGGGGTCATTGATGCCACAGATTTCTGAATCGCCTCTTTTTTTTTGGATTCAAGTGTAATTGTCCCAATTTCATTGCTGCCGGACCCTTTTCTACTTCCCATTTTTTTTTATCATCAAGTCTAGCTCGTTTATTATTGCTGCCATATACCTCTGAATATCAGGTTTTATTACCTCCCCCCTCTGCTTCATGGAATCCTGAGAAGGTCGAAATCTGTCAATCATCAACCCCTTCAATTCATCCCATGTTCGCACCGGTTGCAATTGATCTACCTCCTGAAACCAATTCCATGTTTGCCAGCCAAAACAGGCTGTGGCAGCTTCAATTTTCTCCCCCTCCGACATCTGATTTCTGGAGAAAATCTTCTCCGCCTCCAACACCCACCAATATGTATCTTCTCCATAGAAGATTGATATGTCCAGGCGGCCTTGTGCATCCAATCCTGATCCTTCTTCAATTTCCTTGCTGAATTGTGTTGCCATTCTACCTAGAATCGAGTGCTCTGATACCAATTGATAGGAACCTGATTATATGAAAGTAACAACTGAGAATTGATATTGAATTAATGACGAAATTACAATGAAAATGAAGGATAAATTCCAGCAATTCGAGAAGCTGGTAGTCTCCCAATTGGATAAACCAATACTCAATATTTTTTCCCTATTTTGCTCACCCTCCTATTACATTTATACTAATATTCCCCCAATTTATTCCCCAAACTACCCCTAATAACTAACTGAATTGGAACACTCTAGAATAGGACTTAACAAGCATGAATGGATAACTTGGGGCCTATCACAAAAGTATGCTCATTGAAAATTAGAAAGCTAAATCAGTGTGCCAGAAAAAGGCATTCTGACAATATGGAGTGATTATAAGAGCTAAGAAAAGTTAAATGAGTGAGATACCTAGCAGCAACAATCTTCAGTGAATTAAACAGTGATGTTTGGTTTGTCTGAATCTTTATCATTGAAGGTTTTATCTGAATATTTCTTAGTTGAAGTCATTTCGTAAAAAAGGAAGTAAAACAAAGATTCTAAACTATACCTGATTTATCTTCCTTGTCAAAAGTCTCTGCATTATGAAAAACAAAACGAAGTAAACCAGTAGTTTTGGTCTTGGATAACACCTTTTTGATCTGTTCATGTGAGAGAGAAGTTTCACTGGCATCATAGCTTAAGTTATCAGGCAATATTATAATAAGTACGTGGGTATACTTCAAAAATATTATAATGTTAACTAATGTTAGCATGAGTTTATTCCAGAATGTGCCAAGGTTTAAACCAATATGTAACATGTAATGCATACTTATGGTTGGTTTTGCTGGACTGTAGGTGGGTTTGCAGGGCACTGGCATATGGTACAAATTAAGTCTTTTACCATTGCATTTGCTTCTGTAATTTGTTCAAATGTACCTTGAAGTTTTATGTTTCTAAGATTTGGATATAAAATTGAATGGTTAATTGGGCTCTTGTTTATTATCTCTTGCTATGATAGCATGCTGGAAGCTTCAGAATTGTCAGTAGGCATGGGCGGGTCTATTCAACCATCAAATCGGCCATCGATAGATCCAACTGCATGATGAACTTCCTGAGATGCTTTAAAGTCGCATTTGTCACCAAATTTGCATTACAAATTTTAGTTTTAATCATGCATCAATAAAGAAAAAAACAATAAGCAAAATTGGATTCTAAACCCAGAAAAGAAAATAGCAAATGAAGAAGATGAGTTAGTACTACCTAGTCTTTGCTATCTAAAAAAGAGAAGAAAATAAACAGAGCAATGGTATAATTTCATAGTTTTGAGAATTTCATCTAGTGGCAACACTGTCTTTTAAACCTGTTTGATATCAATATAAGACATCACAAAGTTGAGGCAACAATATTATTCATCAAGAATTATAAGCAATGATTTTGGAAGAATTATAACCAGGAAGGAAGCCTTAAAAAGTGAAACAGATGAAATTATTGTTAAAGCTATAACCAACACATTTCAATATGGGTTCATAACACAACTTTTCGCATAAACAATGGCAATCTAAAACTGAATGAAATAATGTTTAATAGAGCAGAAATGTATTTTCTCGTGGAAGAATTATTCAACTGCACGATAAAATTTGATGATATCAGCGCAAAAAAAATGATATGATCATGTGTAATTGATCCAAGAAGTTTGAGACATTCTCAATTCTTAAAACGAAAATTGTAAGACCACTTACCATGATAATTAGAAATTTAACAAAGACAGCAGCAAAATGAGGACGTATTTGAAGATTCCTAAAATAAGCTTTCTCAATAATATCCTGGATGCCAACAACGATGTATCCTGCAACACCATTATCAAAAACTCAACAAGGTAATACACCCATTGAAGTAACATGGTTACTAAAAAGCAAATACATGATCTCCTCAGACTTCCAAACAGTTGAATGGCTCAATTAGGTACAGACACCAATTCAAACATGTATGCAGCCTAGGATGTGTTAAGGAGAAAATAAATTCATACAGACATTGGGGGTATCAACTAATTTGCTCGACAGGAGAAAACTAACTCGGTTGGCAAAGAAGTTATTTTTTTTGTTTGTCTTAAATAAAGCAAGTTGGGATTCCTCCTGAAAATAAAGAAAGTTGAAAATACCAAATAAGCATTTAGTAATTAAACCAGAGACAGAGATAATAATCACAAGAAAAACGTAATTTAGAATATTGATATGTGGATATAAAGAAACAACGTAACTAACTTAATAAACTCATCTAATAGCTATGACGTCGCTTTCAAGCAGTGGTTTGTTCATGAAATGCAAGTTTGTCTTTCTTGCTTTTTCAATACCTACATGATATTTCAAACTGATATGATTACAAAATGAAAATGGCACGCCAACCCTTGGAAGCATTGCCTTAAAGCATAACCAAGGAAAAAAAGCACTTTTTATGCATAAGATAAATAACCTAAAGAAGCAGTTCGATTTATGATAAACAAACCTTTCTTTGAGTCTGTTGCTTCCTTGGTTTCTAGCTGCTTAACCTCCTTATTTTACACCTGTTACACACTTATTACATGCTATGTCTATTAAGGAAAGTGAGCTACAATTTGTTATCATTGACAGTAATCGTAGACATTTAGGTGACATTAGACATTTTGAAGATTTTACCTAAGCAATATACTCACTTCATTGCAAATGGAGTGATTTCTAACTTTTGTAATTTTTTTTTTATTTTGCTAAACATCTTCTTTCTTTAGTTTGACTATATCTCAATTTGCTAATGACAATATATCCTATTTACTATATGCTCCAACTTCGATTTTTTTGTATTATTTTATAATTCTTTTACTTAGATTTTTTGTTCTTTGTGAG